ACATGCATGATAATAAAGTGTAACGAGAGTCTCCTGCCTTATTTTCCTATCACCGAGAATGATCAGTGGCCCTAGGCCCCTCTAACTCGCCTAGTGATCATAAAAAATGAACTGAACGTGGAATAATCATGACAACATATTATGGATTAAGAGGATCCACGAGTGATTTTGACGCTTGTTCGCACCGTGGCCTCGCTAATTAGGCACTCGAGTTACGATGACTATCTGTCCAACCACATGTCCCTTAAAGGGATTCCGTGCCCCCCAAACATCCGGTGTTGGTGACTCGCCCCCTTCCGTTTTAACAACTTGCCAAGAAGTTCCAAGGATTTAAGTACACATGTTTTTGCTGTTTACCCCGGTGCTTAATTCATTTTTCCTTGCGGAGTAAAAATGTCAAAACCACTGAAACTACCGCACAACGAAAAAACGTTTCACCATCGCAAAATTAAATAATTTAATTTATTACATAAATTGTCAACACTGTGACTAATCTATTGAGATAATCAATAGATTCCAGGAGTCATTCCCCCAGAAAAAATCCCCAAATTACAAAACGAAAATTAATTGAAATCCCCGAGTGGCCAATAAATTTGAATCAATTTCACTTTCTAAAATTCCATTAAAAAAATGGTAATTGAAAGAGAAGAATCTCAATGATGATGAGCATGCCACACATTCTCTTAAAAATAAAAGACCCCCACGGATATGTACCCTAATTTAACAAAAAATGAATTTTTATTAAAATTTTCCCCGCATTTGCACCCGCCAACGAGTGAACAAATCCCGGGACAAGAAAAGCCGAACCCCACAATTAGCAGGCCGAAGCTCATTATGTTAATTTTTCCGCGTAACTAAATACTTAATAAAGGCCTCATCTTGCATTTTAAAACAGCAAGGAATACCCGCATATAAACACCTGAGTCACGAGCAACGATTCTATTGGTTGAAATACCCGTTTAACGTGCGTAAAACCATGTGCCACACATTATACGTATAAAATGCTCCCTATACCCATCGTTTTGCCACCGGTTACATATACTGTGGGCAAAATGGATCGCGTGTCGATCCGCGTCGAGATATTTGTTGCTTTACAGTTGTATCACGTTTTGCTGGACGAGGGGGAGAGCTACAACATCGACGAGAACTGCCCCATTGTTTCGTTTGTATTACAGTGTTTCAGTGTCCTCTTATGATTCCTTCCTCTGCAATCGCGGATACACTGTTGAAACACCATCGACCTCTTTTTTTTTCACCTCCTAAGCCGCTTTCCCTTTGTCTTTCAAACGACTACTAAACGTTTTCATTCTCCTTTCATTGTGGTTGCCCCCCTTTTTTTGTTGGATCAAAATGACTTCCCCTCGGTGAGAGGAAAATCTCTATACCGAGTTAATTGTGGTTTCAGGGGCGGGGTTTAGGTGGAATACTTTGAATACTAGAAAACACAAATCACGAATGAAACCAGGAAATTCTCAATGAGAAAAGTCTACGGAACTGGAAGACGATGCCAGAACGAGATGACGCCTTGCCGGCGCCTGAACCCTCTGCATCCGTAAAAATCTATTTTCCTCGGATGTCATTCAGGCCGGCTGAGGTAATACGAACCTGACCCGAGCCACCATAATTTATCACTGAGATACTCCCAAAAAGGAAGTCAAAGAAAAATTCTCAAAATAAAAGTGACTCGAAAAAATAATTCCCAATCCCCCACGATCTCATTCCAAAAAACAATCCCCCAGCAATCGATAATTGAATCCCATTTGAAATATCAACACTCAATCGAATTCCGTACCTCAGGGTACCTCGAGGGCCGGTAAAAAAAAAAATAAAAATCCGAAGAATTAATAAACAACAGCCCGAAGGTGTATTATACCCAGGACAGGTAATAAGAAGACAATTACGCGAGCTAAATGAAGCTTCAAGTTGAATAATGGTAGCCAAAAGGAGAAGCTCGGGGTTGGAGCCCGAGGATGTTTTCACCAGGATCCCCTGGCATCCTGAGTATAAGATTACAATTAGCTTGACCACGGCAAATCTACAAGACGAGTAGAAATGCATCTACCAGAGTAACGTATATCCACTGGTATAGGGGCATTCCCGGGGGTTTGGCCGGTGAAAATAAACTCGAGGTTATAATAACGCGCATAAATCACAAGTGTTAATATTCGGGGGCGTATTAGTAGGAGGTGTAGTTATTCCACCTATATCCACCTGCCTCCTGGACACAGTGTTGTGTTGTACGTTTTGGATGAGGGCTGGGGTAAGTATACTTCATACAACCGTGAGGGACCTCTGGGCGAATAATACTAACTCCGTTGCATCGGTATAGATCATGTCTGCTGGACGGTCCATGAGAGTGGTTTACCCGCCTCCTTGTTAACCAAACCGAGTTTACTTAGTCCTTCGGGGTGCTTCCACACGTTACACCAGCTAATAGCCTACCGTTAGCCAACTACTGTAGATATAACCCCCTATCCCACCTCATTTAGTGTATTAACTGCTTTCTCTACATTATTCTTCCTAATGCAGGATGGTGAGACTGTCGCAGCTGTCTCCTTCAAGATGATAAGACACCAATGATTAATCAGGTGATGAGGGCCAAGGTAGGCGGTCCTGCAACCCCTTAAATCAATCCCAATCGGTATATTAATGCACGTGATTATTCTTTTATCCCACTGGGGTTGCTTATTTGTTTGATTAGACCAGTGTAATTAGAATCTGATACAAGTGGCTTGTTATTTATCGAACATCTCGCTGATTGCCTTCATCAACCGTATCGATTGTGGAATTCATTTTTCCAGTGCTTGATTCCTTCTTTGGGAACGGTGGGAGGGGAGTATGATGTTGATTGAATGATGACGCCATTGTACGCGTCGATTCTTCGGGATCGATAACAATGAGTGACGGAGACTGTCATGTCCAGTCACTGACAATTCACCTGCACTCCAGGCAATTGTGTTTCATCGGTGACTAGAGAAAATTCGTTGATTGTCGGTGATGATCGTCATGCCCGACGCGTTCTTACCATTCAGGGATAATGGACACGCGGTGACAGTTCCAATGTAACACCTGAGAGTTTTGGGAAATGCGTGGACTTAATATTGAATTTTAGTTTTTTTTTTTTCCATGTTCAGAGTGACGGGTAACGGCTGGTCACGTACACCACGTGTGAATCGCTCATACGGGCTCGTGAGGAACGAAAAAATGGGTCTGAGTTATTCATTTCGGATATAGACATGAAGATCTCGAAAATTTTCCAGACATTTTGAATACAAAAGCCCGCAATTATATTCATACCAGTGAATTCATGAAGAAATTATAGAATTACGTGGTTTTTTTGAAAGAAATTTTCCTGAAAAAAGATCCAATCATTTTTTTATATCTTTGTAGAATTTTAATACACCACTTGCATTACCATTATTAACATCGAACTGGTGATGAATGTGTGCAGTAAAAATCGTCAATAAAATAGCGAATGATCGATAGTGATAATTCAGTACACGATAAATACGTGAATACTAATGTCGCAATCGATTTATGATAATTGACTGGTGGGTGATTGGCTCGGTATATTGTGAATGCGGGGAAGTTGACCCGAATCTCCCTTTTCCGTCAAATATATATCCGAGCAATCGGCTGGAATAGTTTCTACTGGTTTATTTATACATGAAAACCGTAACTAGCGCTTGTGCTGCGGCAAGAGGGGATGAGATATAGAGAGGGGGTGTGTGTAAGGCAAGGGGGGCATCTCGTTAATTAGCCCCGGTGTCGATTTAATTACCAGGGGAGTAATTGGCATTGGCCACTGTCGTGCTACAGCCCCCTACCCCCTCATCGTCTCCACCCCCGTTCGTCTCCATTTCGCTTTTGTCGATCTCTCGCCCTTCCTCGATTTCGCATACCGTTGCATATTCATCGGTGGATTATTATATCCCCATGTACGGTTTCCAGTCCATTCCATCCACCGAGTTCTATGATAAATTTCCCAATGTGAACGAAAAAAAAAGAAGGAAGAAATTCACTTCTTTGTTTCTCAAATGTAAATGAACATTTTTCACAATTTAAAATTTAATTCAATTGTTGGTAGTTAGTTGGGCGAAAAAAAAACACCGGGAGAAAAAAATTCATTCCCAAATTTTTATGGAGTCATGTTCACTGGGAACAAAAAACCTACGGTGGAAGGGGAGGAAAAAAAATGCACAAACTCGGAACGAATAAAGGTCACTGTAGTATTTGCGTATATCGTGCACAATGTTATCCACAAACACGGCAGGGCTACGGCCAATTTATCCCAAGGGATGAAGCCGACGACGTGGCGAACTGTGTCCGGGATGGGGACTACCTTGTCCAGTTGAATGAATTCAGTACGCAGACCCCTAGTGTGGTTGGCATGTATACAGTGGTCACTGCTCCAGCCACCGATTTTACTCTATTTCTCTCGGTTGTTAATGATACCCACGAAAAATATTACGAGCAGTACTGTCTGCGGTTTTCAAATGAATTTCTAATTTCGCAATAACCGATCAAGATACCCTAGCTAAAAAATGTTAAATCCCTCGATATTGTATTGATTTTCCTCGTTACCAGAACAATTCACCGCATCACAAATCCTTCACTCCAGATTTATTAACCTGTCATCGAGTCGATCCCTCGAAAACTATGAATTAACTACACCGCAGGTGTCAAATTATCCGAGAACACTCGGTCCTGAGCGTTTGACGTTAAGCCACGACACAGGCCAGTAATTATATTTCGTTCCTCGGTCATTATAACGTACCACGGCGTGTACATCGGCATCATCAACGCCAGTGTACTCGAGCGCGTGTGTAATAACCCCGGTATGTGTACTGGATATTACCAACGAAATATTGTCAGAAAGGGGTTTACCACACCCATAGGCCTCCCTTGGCTGCCAATCCTCTTATTAACGACCAGTCACACCGGGATTTATTAATCCACTTATTAAACGTATTTATTATACCACAGCATTAATCACTTACCTTGAGTCTGGTCAAACGCGGCTCCTCAGCAGCGAGTTTTGCCAGCGCCTGGTATTCACCCTGTGCCGCTCGCACCAGCCACTCTCTCGACTTTCCATCCAGTTGCTGATCAAACATTTCATAATTAATCTTCAAAACATCAATTTGTAACAACAATCAGCGAACTCTCGCGCCCAAAAATAAAGGACTCACCGAAGCCACAGAAGCGCTGTCATCCTCGTCCGTCCCCTGTCGAGCAAAAAAAAAAAAGACCAAGACATTCAATCAATTTCCCGTGAAATTGGCGTCACATAAAAAATGAAGTAGAGAAAAAAAAAAGAGGGATATTGGAGGATGGAGGTGGAGCTGAGCCGCGATCGGCATCACGGGTAAACGACTATTCATCCCCGTTAAACTGTTTGTATTTTCACTCGTCACGGCAACGAAACGCCGCAGGAGGCCAACCATATCGACACACTTGGCGTCTCCAATCCACCATGACTTATCACAAAATTCGACTCATCTTTCAGTCGAGTCATTATTAGGTACCATCAGGCCACGATATATCTTTATCCATCTGATTTCTCTTTACCCTCCAGCCATTAATGCAGATTGGGATGATGTCTCGTGTCCAACTCTACGTGTTCGCGTACTAATTTTTTTCGTAATGAAATCTCCGCTCGAATAATATCTCCCAAATATCGACGCAAACTGCCGTTATCCCTGGAGATTTTTCTCTCATCCTCTCCCCCTTGAGGCACAAGAAGCTAAATATTAAAACAGCGAGGGACCGCCGGCAGTCTTCTGCATGTAAATCAATTAACCGATAATTAAATTCGGATTGGAGAGTCCTTTAAAGCCCGAAGGTTCCAGATTTGCGGACATCTGATAAAGCGTTTGAAACATTCTCACGATGCATCGAGCTGCCAATATGTTCCCCTGGTCTGCAACAGTCCAACTTTTCCAGGACCTCTTAAAAAACTTTTCACCCGACATGACTCCACGACTGCAGACACCCGCCTCTAGGCGAATTAAACATGTTACATCTGTGTGCGCATGGGAGAAAGTTTTTTCATTGGATAGTCCAGAGAGACACTTGAAATCTTAATGGGCACTCAGTGGATTGTCCTCGAGGTTTGTATCAACGACCACTCGACTAATTTAAGGCACGCGCCCGCTAGCCCCTGGCACGTGTCAACAAGACGAAAGTCGAACTCTTCATTCCTATCATCATATTGAAGAGGCTGATGGTGTTGATACTCCAGGGATATGGGAAACGTTTTAATAAGCATATCACACAGTTGATGATTCTCTCGGGGTGAAGCACCAAGTATAAATATATCTGCTTTGGCCACTGGATGTAACCGAGAGGGAGAAATTGGAGGGGTTGAAAACTGGCCCAGCGTACACAGAACGTATTGGTTTGAATACGTTGGGGTTCTGGTACAAGAGGCAAAACATGTTGCGGCACGAGCTGACTCGAGAGCTCCCAGGAATTAGCTTTATTATAACCTGGGGGCCATCCATACCCACCATAATTGCAACTGAACATTCACGATACAACAAGCCAAATTATAAGCAAACATGTACTTCTGAATGTAAGGTGAGGAATGCCTTGACGGTTTGACCACTCAAACCAATCAGTAATTTAAAAAAAATAAACGCCAATCAACCACTCCCGCAGAACAAGACAAACCCAACAAAAGGGTCTGCAGATAATTCGTTAAATTGATTCACAGCCTGAGAGTGGAAGATTTCATTAGGTGGAACGAAGTAAATGGCCAGAGAGACAGAGTGCAGACTGGTGGATCGGAGATGGAGGTAAGAACAAAGAGTTGCGTGAGGATAAGAGTACGGATTGCACCAGTGGAATAGAGAAGGAATGAAGAACACTAGGGGGGGATTAGCCTGGGCTAGGTATGCGAGATCGATTATGCGATCTGCGGATAACGTTGGCCTGATTTATTCCCCTAATGGGCGTTCGCGCATTCATTTCGGTGGCGGACGAGGCAATTCGCAAGCGCCCAAGCTGGTGCTGGGCCTTCCTCGCGAGCAGTACTGTCAGTGACAGGAAAACTCTCGGTGGGTGATTCAGGGTTTGGTTTAGGCGACGCCTCCAAACCACCACCATAATGCCTTCACCAAGTGCTTTTCTCTTAATCCACGGATATTCACTTACGTCAAATGATTTTATCAATCAATTTTCCAGGATTACTTCAATTTTCTAGGGAATACCTGATGTAAATATCAATGGGGACCTGATGATTGCACGGACGGAAAGATCAGCTACGACTTGTACGATAATTCAAAGCGCATGGGACAGACAGGAAACGAGGACGAGAATTGGTCGGAATTAGCCACCAACTCGATTATTAGTTTGGTGGTGAATGGTGATTCATAGCTGGTTAGTCGTATTTTCCTGGATATACCCAACTGCCGGGGCAAACCAGAGTTTGCTCCGGATGGGGAACATGGAGCAAACTACACGCACGCCTCTTCCAACCCTTTCCCCTGTCCCTCGCTGTTTCTCTGTCATCCTCTCGCACCCCCGTCCGTGGTTTTCCAAACGGGTGACAGGAATATTCGTACATAGCATGTACCACTCTGGAACCCCTCGCAGGTACTCCCTCACACGCATCGTATCGCGATCATATCGCGATGCCCCAATAATTTACTGGATTATTTGCACTCGACCATTACCATTTCCAGCTTCATGTACCAGCAGTTTGTCTATCAACGCTTTTGACTAGAATGACCATAACAATATGGAAAATACAAATATTTTTGGTTGTGATTTTCTAGGATATTCGAGGAATTTCGTGATAAAAAGATAGTAGACACATAAAATGACTGATGTAGTGACGGGTTGTTTTTGACTTTTTAATGAGAAATGATTTTTCCACTGACCTCCTATTACCACTGGGGATTTGATTTTAACGAAGCCAAATGTTCGAGTCATGGATAAGAATATGCGTGGGTGTTTATGAAAGAAGGTAACACACCACTTGAAGCGAAAGGTCCTCGGAGGTGGGGATAAAGGTATGTAAAGGCCCACAGTGGTCTGACTGTGCAGCCCTGATACCTCGCTCCCATGGCTAATTCCGAGGTGTAATCTGCGGGTACCATCTCCACGGGATTAGCATATAGATAGCGTTAGGGGATGAAGGTATACAAGAGGCGCCTTGCCTAGACAATCGACGCCATGATCATTCTGGTTCAATGTCTTCCGCAGGAATAGAAAGGACAATTTTCAATTATTCCCACTGATAAACACTTTCGAGTGATTTCACGTGCAGTATTTACACGATCAGATGGTATACGTTGGCAATGCAATCAGTATTGACAGACCGGTACTTGGTTTAATGCGGCCATTTGGTGGGCATTTGTTGGTGGACAATGAGCTCGTCTCGTAGTGAGAAGCAGAAGTAAAGAGCCCAAGTGATTCGGTCGTGAGGTAATTTGTGTTCACAGCAGGTCTGAGCAAACATGCCCAGTGGGGGTGCTACGAAAAATTAAATAACCCGATGACTGGTCACATTCTCCTGGTTATAACGAGACAGAGGTGAAGGTGTGCGTTGAGACTTCTCAGCGAGAAGTTACGAGTGTACAACGAGCGGGGCATAACGGGCCCCGTCAGGACGAATGACGTTGGCGTCCTTGTCGTTCCTGTGGTGGAGCCGATGTGCACCCTCTCACGGTGGGCCCAACCCCGAGTATACCAATATAGAAACACCGTTCAATGTGGTATTGTAGTATATTCTCAGTTGGTTAATGCGAGATGGTATATTCTCATCTGCATTGAGCTGAACGAGGATGAGAATAGGAAGAGGATAAGTATTTGGTTGAGAGTGGGATCGGGGGACTAGTGGACGAGCCACAAACGTGAAACGAAGAGCGGCGACCTCCCGTGGACTTATGAATACAAATAGCCGCTCACTGCGCGATTCACAGATCTCTGATAAAGGTAAAGTCCTCAGGACTCGCCCTCTCCGATTCAAATGTGTGTATGCGTATGTACATGGCTTGACCACAGACAGCAACCGTTTACCAAAAGATTATCCCCCTAAGATCGGATCGTGATCGGTATCGAGAGACTCGGGATTTTGCGCTCGTGGATCAGTTGTGTCATTAGTTTCAATAAATATTGTACAAATACTTCGAGAGGCCGTTTAGGAAACGATTAAGCCACGATTTTCATCTGTCTCGATATATCGTGGATAGATACCGATTTTGGTGAGTGATTTACGGTTACGGTAATAATTAATGCTCTGTTGGTAGGTTGGGCAATTCATGCGGTGAATAAAATGGATCAATTCTGAATGAAGAAGTGATATTCTCAGTTGGGAATGAGAGTTGGAATGTCGTTGGGATCCTTAACGATACGCCCACACCCACTTTTGCCAGCTACCCGGTGACACTATCGTCTCATCCCAGGCCCTAATGTCGTGTCCAGACGTCATGCCAAGGCACGTCAGATCTACAGACACTCCGTGAAAAAAAATACTAGTATTTCATCGTTGGGCATCGAGGTCAGAAAAGGGTTAAAGTCACTGAAGAAACATCAATGTGAAAGTGAGGGCTAGCGCCTCATATTGTTCGATAGATCGATCTTTGTAGATTTGTATCGTGTACCATTGGAATGAGCACTCGACGACAGGATAGAAATTCCAATTGAAATTCTTCAACTTATCAATCGACAAATTGCTCTCACCTACCGTCCGGCACTATCAGAGGTACCCCCAGGTGGAATAAAATTTTTTAATCCGCAAAACAACAAAGGAAGACAGCAGTGGTTTAACCTATCTGACGTATCTCCTTCAGGTTTGTTTTTTAATAGAGTAGACTTGGTCGCAGGAGAAACACAATTCATGAAAAACCTTCACCGCCAGGTGCTTCCGTCCATGGTATGCCCCATGTCGCGAGACTGAATAATGACTGAAATATATTTCCCAAATAAATAATGATACGCCCTCGTAAAGTTTACGCTCGGTCAAGCGCAAGTCCACCGCTGATGCATACACAGCCAAAAAGGCTAAACTTCGAAAGGGGAAAAATGGAAATAAATAAAATAATATCAAACAAACACGTACTAATCTTGAGTGGCTAGATTTGACAGAGAAGATAGCGACCCATACTGCGAGCTCTCTGAACGCCCACTCTCAGGTAAACCAAGACAAAAAGAATAACAAAACCCGTTTAGTAGTTTGTATCGAGGTTTGAGAAAAATGTCCTCGTCATGCGATAGCGTCCCAAAATTTATCCACCCATTCATCACAGATTCCTCTAGGATTTTATGAATGGAAATTCCGCGGTGATATATGTAGCTTGATTTTTCTCAGGCTGTCTATTTCCTTTGGAAATATGCTACCGTTACGAGACACACATATAATCTCACCAATGCTGAAAGTTGTTGAGAGGATGTCGTCTGAGGATCACGCAAGCTGTGTCCCCTCATCCAAGATTCCCTCTTCCTCATTCCCGTATATGCTCCTTCACTCCAGAGTGTAGCACCACGTCTTCCACCATTCTCAACCCTCTTTGCATATACATTCTGTAAGATTACTTTGTGCGGTTTACACCCTGCGTCCCTTCGTCTCTGGCGTCGACTATCCTGCCACGATATACCCCCCTTTCTCCCCCATCTTCACTAGTACGCCTTGAGCTTTGCCAAGGGCCATACTACCTCACCCAAGTTTCGTCCTTAATGTATGCTGAAACTATACGGGAATTCACAAGTTTGTCAGTGGGCGAACAGTGAGGGGTTGGAGAAGAGTTGGACCCGGTGAGATGGGAGTTTTACTCAGTTGGTACTTCACTCTCTGGATGCCTCGTTCATCTAGACCCCCAGTGTTACACTCTTGACAAGGGAAGCAGCAAGAAATGAGGGTTGGGGGCCCCACCTTCGCGAGAACACGCGTGATCTTAATTAGTGAAAAGCCTCAGGGTTTACCAACGAGACGACGAGATTTACTTTTGCTAAAAGATTTTCATTACTTCGGCAAAAGTATATTTCTCCGGTGTTAAGACAGGGTCTAGTGCACTCGAGCTTTACTGTTGCTTAATCAGCCGTATAACAGTTTTAATCGATTGGTCACGTATGCGGGAGGAGTCGGCACGCGACAGCAGTCCCTCAGCAGACTCATTGAGGATGCCACAGGGATGAATAACAAACTCACCTCGATGAATAATAATTATTTTTGGAAAGAAAGTGCCAGGCGCCGCGACACGAGTGCAAGAGGATGTCCGGAGAATTTGTCGGCTCGACTCATTCCAAGTAAAGAAAATGAAAATCAATGCAACGTACACGATGGGCGCCCTTTTTCGGCTCCACAAACTCATCAAAAGAAAAAAGAACCGAGGAAACGACTGATGGAAGAAAAATGAGATTCGAATAAGAAAAAAAATTTCATTCTGATCTGTAGCCACGTCGGAAGGAATAATTTAACGAGGTATACGCGACGCCGATTTCTCTTTCCTCTCTTCCGTTTTAGAGTACATGCTTTCGGCTTCTTTTAATCGGCCCAACTCGGCATAAACTCATTTGAATTATGATTGAGCATCCGGTTGCAGAATCAATGTGTATAAAATCCCCTGTTTGGTAAAGGACCTCTTGTGGATCGACTTTTAATTTTAAATATCCCTGGCTAATTATGATTTACGGCGACACAACCACGAGACATCCTGATCGGCAAGCAAGATACCAGGAGGATATTCAAATGCGATGAACAGTGCGTTTGCCAAACGATAAACAGTTTTGCATCGATGCATGTAAGGAAAAAAAAAGGACAAGTTTGATGGTGAACGATGGCCAATGGAAGAATTAACGAATGAGAGTGGTGGTGGGTGTACGTAATTTCAAGAGTGAAATAATCGGTATTCTCGGTAATTCATTGGTTATGCACGATGAGACACCAGGTAGCATCCTCCATGCGTTTCTTCCTCGTTTCCCCGAAATGGGCTTATATCACTGGGTGTTCCATCTTTTCTTAACATATTTGATAGCTTTATGATGGGTCACTGTACCTTGTCGGAGCGTTTCTTAGCTGGTGATGTAATACCATTTGGACGACCATGAAGATCAGTCTCACTTGCCATCCGGTTGAATCGCTGCATTCGTTCACGAACACTTGGCAATTCACCACTTCCCCCTGTTGGCTCGTCCTCCTGGATTTGTCAACAACAATCTTTCTTGTATGTGCTGTTAATGATTCAATGTACCTTCACCAGTGCATTCCAGTCTACAGTGTCAGTAGTAAAAGGAAAACCTAAGTTTTAGAGTCTTGATAGATGAAAGAGTCCAGCCGGGATGCAACGTGACAGGATAGGAGGTGATGCTTAACGACTACAAAGACTGATTACTCGTACTAATACTCTCACACCGCAAGCACTAATAGGCTCATAATAATTGACGTTACACTGGGGTGATATAAACGTTGATGGGGGTATTAGCATACTCTGAGAAAAGCGTACAATTCACTTCACGACGCGCTAGAGCTCTCGTTACTGTCGTCGTGGGGTTTCCCCTTTTCATTTGCATGGAAATCGGAGCATACAATGACACACAGGCTCTCGTGAAGTAAAAACGTGCAAATTGTTGACAACCACTAGCTACAGGAGAAAAAATACACTACGGAAGAGATAGAATTTTATGAAGGACAGGATATGACGAACCTTGATTGGAGTTTCCTGGTTGTTTTTTCCCTTTTCATTATTCAAGTTCTCTTTGTTCTCGAGTTTGAGTTTGTCCTGACTCTTTCGTCTTGGAGGAACGGGGGGCGATGATGGATCGTCCACCTCTGGTGAGGCCTCGTCGAATATCGAGATGTGACGGTGTGGAGACCCTGGACCTGGCGAATTGTGCACCGGCACTGGGGGTGCTTTATTTGGCTTATTCACTGTTGCATACAGCTCTTCTGGGGGTGAACGATAGGAGACAGCGGAGGATGCGTCAATAGAGTGTGTGGGACTCAGAGGAGCGGGTGGTGGCGGTCGATACGGGGGTGGATCACGAAGGGGTGATGTGGGAGTTTGGAGATCAGGAGTTGCCAGGGGAGAGCCAGGTCCCAGGTGAGAGTATATTGGTGATGATAATTCTTCTAGGCTCTGGCGATACTTTCTCTTCAGCACCAGGAATTTTTCCCCCTACCGAAACAACGGGAAATTTATTCTCAAGTCGATTTTTCATCCTGTATAGTTTTACGCGAAAATATTAGTCTGAAGTACCTCAGACATTGGGGAGGAATGATAAGGGTAGAAGGAATACTATAATGGCGGTCAAATTGCCATCTGTGGCTACCTCGCCTGATTGGCAGGCTGTTCACGAAGCGAAACAAATTTTCAAGCTTATGGAAGAATTGGAAATGAAGGAGCAAGCTTTGGAAAGAGCGAGGGTTAAACAAGAACGAGCCAACTTTCAAGAATTAAAAAAAAAGGTGGAATTAATGGGAACGTTGACGGTGTCGAACAGTCAAAATTACCGAGTAGCAGTCCGGAAATTCATTATTCCTGCACGTTTGAAATCCCGCGATTTTTTTCCAAATGTGGCAACATCGCAAATCGAGACACCTCGAAGCGCAACAAGTCGTTCTGTCAGACAGACTTGCTGGCTCGAGCCGCCAACACAATCACAACAGACACAAACTTACCTCTTCATTTTTGATAGTCGCCAGTGTGTTTACGTACTCCTTGAATTTATTTCGCGCCTCAACTGAAAACAAATAATTTGCGATGGTCATCACTGTTGCTCGTAGATATTCAGGGACGAAGTACGACCACACGATTATTTGTATAATTAATTTTTTTCCCCTGAATCACCCACTGAGATCATGCCACACAGACACGTACCACTAACCACTGGGTGATGGATTATAAATAACACGACAGCGGGGTAAAAGGGAATTTTGGGTGAGTGGGTGCATACCTCGGGTTTCTGGATCAGTGAGGAAGCTCTTGAAATGTTTCACTAGGTCGTGATTTCGCGCTGAACCACCGTTATCCAACAAATATTTACGTATCTCCTCTAGAGACAACTCACTGGGCGTCGCCATGTTGGAAACTGTATCGACGACTCGCGCGGCACTGGCGGCAGCATTTGAATCGTCAAACTCCACCGGTAAAAATGAATTCTATTACCTGTCAATTAATTTGAAATTCCCCGGCTGTTCATCATTAAAAATTCACACCGTCGAATTTCCAATGGAAACTAAAAGGGTTTTCACGACTGTTATCAATCAAAAATCCATCACCTGAGCATTCGGGATTTTATTCCATCGCCCAGAGATATCGTATGGTCCACGCATACAGAGTAAAATCGTTAAATCCTCTCAATAGTTTATTCACTCTCGTTGACACGTCGAGCACGAGGATTTATTGGAAGCCTTTCACCGTAAATGTAACAGTCGTCTGTGAATATCGAATTCATCGTCATCGTCTGTGTTTTTACTCCAATTCTATCAGGTGAAGCTTATTGGAGATGATTTTATCATGAATCTCGGAAATTACCCATTAATTTAGGTATTTCATCTCGCCCAGTGAAGTTTATCTCAATGTTTGTTTCCCCTTTCGTACAAAATTCCAGCGATAAAATTTCCTCGACCATTGTAGAAAGGTTAAATGAGAGGGACAGGTGATAAAAGCGTGTATGCGTGAAAATTTTATTACCGAAAATCGTGTATACATGCGTGTGACACGCACAGAACGCACCGAAAGGGGGTGGGGGGTAAAGCCGTTTAATTAAACTGACTTTATCGGGACATTACAATGAAAATAAATAGGCGATAAGCATACAACGATAATCCTTCTATGTTTCAACAATTGAAGTTCTAAAATTTAATTTAATTTTAATAAATTTAATTTTTTTTTTTACTTTATTCATTTTAGAATTCTGTTATGTTCGTAAAATTGTTCTTCAATTAAACAATTTATTTTTTTTCACTGAAATTTCGCCATAAAAAAATTAATTACACGAAATCCCACACGAACTTGTCAAAAAATTTTTAATTGTTAATTTTAATTAGTCATTTTAATATAATTCAATTAATTCTCAAAAATTAATTGAATCAAATTGAAACCAGGTATTTTCTTCCGAGGAAAATTACGGGGTATTTTATATTGTATTGTCGTTTTATCGGCGTTAGAGCCATAAAATAATTTTTCCCAGCACAGAACTTATCCAAAAAAATTGAAATATCTCCTAAAAACATGTGTACGCTGGATCTCGTCATCCGCGTTTCATTTTAGGTAGGATCGACAAGGGAGATGGGCCTGAACCCGCTTGGACATAAAAAGAGCCAGTGAGAAGTGATACGAGAAGTTTTGCACGAGGTCGAGCCAAGGGTTAGGAGAGAATAAAGAGTTACCCGACTATGGTACCGCACGGGGACAAAGAGAGAGAATTTCAGCAGAGGATTTTTCACGGTGAGAGAGAAGGTACAGGCTGTGGGCCCCTTGGGTGCATCTTCGATATCATCTACCCGTGTTTCTTGGCGTTATGTTTATGCTCTTGCATACGTAAAAGTCCAAAGGTGCGCGCCGGTCTTTTGCTTGGCGCGTACAACAGCCACCAGTACTTGAATCGTACTTCTCGTCCCACGTGTGTGATCTACCGCCTTCAGACCCTTCACATGCATAAAAATCACGTAAAGAGGAGAAGCAAAAAATGGGACACCATTTTTTTTCATCACCCAGGAATTTAGCATTTTTTTCCAGGAGCAAATTGGGGCACGTTAAATTAAATTTATCCCGAGGTATCATAATGGGCCAAATGATCTGCCATTTTGAGGCCTGCACGTATAGGAATGCCGGCGGTTGGATGATGCCCCTGGGCATTAGCACGATTTCAACTTTTTATCAGAAAATACCAACATAAAGTTTCACGTGGTTTCATTGGTCCCTTCCGTCTTCGTCTGTTATTCTGAGGCCTCACATACGACGGCACCGAGAGAATGATCGGTGGATGAAGGGAGTTGGCATTTTTTTGCACTACAAAAATGAGAAAAAAATTGCATCTAAATCGTTCGGCAGTGGTCGCTGTCAACGACGGTGCGTTATACGTTATGGATGTCAAGGCGAGCCAGGAGGGGATCTTTCAGCCAGTGAAGAAAAGGACAAGACATAAAAATTGTATTATTGATTCACGGGTATTCGTGACTCGATTACAAGATCGTGTTAAATTTGACAGATATCTGTGTGCCTTGGCGGCCAATTTCTCATACAGCTTCATCCTTTTATTCCTTTTTATCCCATCATCCAAAACTACTTCATCAGTCTGAATACACCGAGGACAAACAGAATGACTCGATATTTAATTTTCCCACAGCCAACTCAACGCTCTTTTATTTATCAAAAACTCAAGCGATCTATTTGATTTTCCCTGAGACCATGGACATTCAGCAAACGTCAAAGCTCGAGCGTCACGGCTATTGCACGTAATCCTCACAATGTGGTAGCGGTATGCTGTGTACATACTACTTTCAAGAAGCAGAAGAAGAGAAACGGACTGCCAAAGCGATTGACGCGGAATCGTTTGCTAAGTCCCATTTCATTCTTCATATCCGGTGCTAGCTCCCGATTTTTCACATTTTTCCAAAATATTTTTTACAAAAATAACGCTAAACTCTAATGCGCAAATGTACACGAGAGCGGGCAGTATACGCAGGCCCCCGACAGGGGCAGGTATTGGCGCCACCTCCAGCGGCTCTCCAAGCCGCAGCTAGGGCAGACTTACGCCTTACTCCTCGCTATCACTCCCTCTCCCTCTGGAATTCTCCTGTCTCCCTCCAACTCCTCCTCCCCCCCCCCCCCACGCACTTGCCTGAAAATCCTTCTGTCCCGGTTGAACTTGTATCCCCACGGCTCCACCATCTCCCTCACCCTGGCTGCTAGCACTGGTATCAGTGTGTCCCTGTCATGCTGCCTTGTGGTACCCCATCGGGCCATCCTCCTCGAATCCACCCGCCCGCTCTCTGATGCTGTGCAACTCTCGGGGGCCACGAGTAACCCAACCTAACCCTCCGGCTAACTTCATTCCACGCCGACTGACCACCACCGACGGCCGAGAGTTCGCTCTTCCTGCCGTCGTCGTCGTGTGGCCCGCCAAATACGATATAAACCCGCGTTTTTTTTTTATTGCACCGTGTTTTTTAAACCCTCGTACTAGACAACAAAAAAATAGCCGCACTAGCCGCACCGAGAACAAGTTATCACCGAGGTACATCAACATTTTGATCATCAGGAGACACTTGATTATTTCATCACCGCGGTACATTTACATTTTCCCCCCAGTGGACCCCTTCCCTGAGAGCCACATCAGAGTGAACTGTAGAACCCGGTGCCGTCGCCCGATCACAACTATTCCACCTTCACTCAGCGATCGACATCGCAATCGGCCGCGAGACATATAAAACCGTCACAACTCTGTGCTGATTTGATCATTTGACGAATTCATTGTTATTGTTTAACGGACTGTTCAGTGACGAGAGGACAAGTTGGTGAACTAGGAGGGGAATTGGGGGTGGAAAATAAAGAGTGGGAGAGATGGATATGTCGGATGACTGCTGGGACCACGTGGGCCTTCTTCAGGATGTATCCGGTGAGCAGCAGCAAACAGCTAATCCGGATTTTCTTTGTCTACAGCAGCCACAGCAGGTGAGTCACCAATGATTTAATTCAACTGTTTTCAATTTTTGTCAGTCCAACTTGGAGATTGATTATTCGCAAATGGCAAGTGGAGGAGCTTTGGGGATTAATTGAGGTAGCGGGTGAGGGACCGGTCAATTTCACGCGTCAGACACGGTACCAATTACTGTTTGGAGGGGCCGCGACGGTGATCTGGGTGATGTACTTGCACTGGGGGATACCCAATGCAAATATTTGAGGGGGCGGTTGAATTATCGATCGAGTTTGATACCGAGAACACTCCTGAGATTGGCTGATGAGGCGCCACCCAAGAGTATATCATTTGCGGCTAGACAGCCACCATAAAAAATGAATATTAAAAATAATACATAATAAAAGAGATCTAGGATAGGGCCGGAGGGATAGCAGGTGTCCAATCCCATCTATTATCCCCTAAAATACGTGTATTTTTCAAATGGACTACGTTTGTTTGTTTATCGGGGCGAAATGATCCTAATCATCTCTCACCGCTGAAATCCAACTCCGTGAAGGCAGATAGTTGTCATTAGAGCGTACGTTTGGTGATTTTTATTTTTATTTGGTGGATGAAAAAGTGGGCGAAAAATGATGGAGCGTGATGGGGCACGGGGCCTCGTTTCGTTTCAATTTTGCGGGGATACGTGTAACAAGCCCAACAAACTCAAGAAAATAAAGCATGAGGTGGACAGGGTGTTGGGTAGAAAAAGGGTGAAACATCACTAGGGTTATACTGAAATGGGGCGTTGGGTTTACGGTGCCCTGTAATCATTTACCCTGGAAATTATAGGCATTTAGGTGGGCATGAATGAGCGGATAGGAAAGTTTAAGAAGATATCGGTGGCATCGACGCGCGTTAGGGGCGCGTGCAGGTCTTCAGGCCACTCACAAGTTGTACACCTGCTTCGGGATCCGAGTCCCCAGGCCTTCGTGTTCGGTGGGACATCAGCGATAATCAGTGATATATTTCTTTATGTATGGTAATTCACTCGGTTTAGGAGCTCATTGCGGAATTTTAATTGCTTGTCGGGATGGGGAAGGGAGGGGGGTTCTCTGGTAAATAATTTATGAATTATTTGGGTTGAGAGCATTGAAGTTACTCACGTATGAGTTTCCCACGGGGCGGGCCGACGTGTGGGAATATAACGATTATTACTCAGGCCTATAGGTAAAGTCCAATACCGATCGAGTCATTTTTATTATTCTTCGGGCGTTGGGTGGGTGACGCCAGTCGTCTTGCCAGGAATACACCAATTGGAAAATTTTATTTCAAACATTCGGCATTCACTGTACCGCTGGCATATCATATTTTTCTGGATCGCCATTTTTTTCCGGGGGGTTACTCATCCCCGAGGGGGGGAACAATTAATTGGGTTTTTATCGAAAATTGGAAATT